GTCCAGTTCTGTCTCCTCAGTTTAGGGAGGATGTTGAGATGCTGGAGCACATCCAGAGGGGGCAATGAGGATGGTGAGGGGCTTGGGACACAAACCCTGTGAGGAATGGCTGAGGGAGCTGGGGTTGTTCAGCCTGGAGAAAAGGAGACTCAGAGGTGACCTTATCACTGTCTACAGCTCCCTTAAAGGTGGTTGTAGCCAGGTGGGGTCGGGCTCTTCTCCCAGACAACCAGTGACAGGACAAGAAGACACAGCCTTAAGCTATGCCAGGGGAAGTTTAGGCTGGATATTAGGAAAAAATTCTGCACTGAAAGAGCGATTGGGCATTGAACTGGGCTGCCCAGGAAGGTGGTGGAGTCACCGTCCCTGGATGTGTTTAAAAAAAGACTGGATCTGTCACTTAGCCAGAGAAGGTGGTGTTAGGTCATAGGTTGGACTTGATCATCTCAAAGGTCTCTTCCAACCTAGTTAATCCTGTGATTCTGTTCCTTCCAACCCAAGACATTCTGTGATTCAATTGAGTTACTTAGCACAAATTTCCTTTCCCTTGGAAATTTATTGTATTTAACACATTTAATAACAGAGATCTTCAACTGTGTCAAATGAAATTTATAAAGAAAAAAAGCAGTGAGCAATTACATAGCAACCTGATATTTTCCTGTTGGTGGAAGAACTTAAATTCCATTATTTTTCAAAACTTTATAAAAATTAGCATTTGAACCATGACTGTGTGAGACTTTAAAGTGGACCACACAAGAGGCACTAAATAACTCTTCAACAGTGCAGAGCCCCAAAACAACCAGAGGAAAAGGCTGTTTTGACTGGGAAGAAGTTGTTACCAAAATAAATAACTTGTGCAGTAAACCAGGGGTGGTCTCATAACAGTGCACCTCTCAAACAGGTCATCACAGGAGGTGTTACCTGCCATGTGTGCTGGCACAGCACTGAGCACCACAGTCCTCACCACAGGCCCTTCCCTCCCAAAGGGACCCAGCTCTACCTGTCTGAGGTGTGTGCAGCACTCCAGCCTTGCCCTGCTTAGAATAAATAACCTCTGCCAGTGTAATGCATTTTCACACCCAAAAAACACATCTGTTCCATGGGGGGTTTGAAACCATAGAGCTGTTTTGACAACAAAACTAAACTGCACTCCTAAGGGGACAGCTGTATCACTAATTCATCCAACACTTTTTTTTCCCCCCTGCAACACAATATTACACTTTGTAGTTGAACAGCCAGACTCTCTATATGAAAATATCACCTTCAAGTGAGTTATGCTGCCTTGTGTAGCAATTCTGGGCTAGTTAGAAATACACTTGTTTTATAAGGAAAACTGTGGATTCATGGTTGAACAGACTTTTAAGTGGAAATGTCCCAAATGTTCTTATGTGGTCTTTTAAGTTCCTCTATTAATAGGGGGATATAAAGAAATGCCCACCTCAGTCAAACAGATCTTTGTCATTTCTGACTTCACACTGACGCTGTTTATTTATAGACAGGTTGCTTTCTCTGGGTGTTTGTTGGTTCCTGTGGATGGAGGACTCCCAGTTCTTTGTGATTTGAGTTCTGCTAACATGAGGTTGCTAACTCTGGTGATGACTACTTTGGGGCAGGTTTATCACAGGGAGGTGAGGGGCAGGGGTCGTTACTTTTTTCCTTAGGAGCAACTCAAATACCAGTTCCACTGAGGCCAAGTCTGGGATTCCACCTTTGCCAGGGCTGTGGTTCAGAACAAGCAGCAGAGATAAGGGCACAAACCCTTCAGGTTCACTTTGGATCCATCACTGAGGGACCTGCTCCAGTGCTGCTGCACCTGTGGGGTTTCAGGGAGTGGCTGCAAGCTGCCCTTTGGTTTTATTACAAGCTGGTCCTAGCCAGCCCTAGCTTGAGGAGCCACCAGCTCCTATAAGGAAAGGCCCTGAGGATGAGGGAGAGCAGCAGCTGCCCCTGGATGAAGCCAGACATAATTCAGCCAGTACCTGTCTGTCCCAGTCCCTGACTATTGACACGTTTGCACTTTGAGACAGGTGGTGAATTATGTTGAGTGCCAAGTTTATTCAAAGCAAAAGGAAATGGATGTTAGAAAATTATAAACCGAGCACAGTTTTCCCTTCACTGAAGGGAAAAGTGCTCCAGAACCAACTCATGGAACCAGGGACAGGGGGAGGATGGGAATGATTCAATGGGCTCGTTTTGCTGGCAGAAATGTCATCACCAGTGTGGATACAAAGCATGTTTGCCATGATAACATTGAAAATAATGTTTCTGAATAAAGTTAACTGCCTAATGTTATGACTTCCACTAAATATGTGAATTTGCTGCTTCTAAGAGGCAATGTGAAAGAGGAAGTATTACTTTTGTGTACAAATTTATTTATTTATTAGAAAATTTGGTACAATGTTGTACATTGAAAAACATGTAAGATATTGAAGTGTCTAACAAATGGCATTGAAGTGTCTTTAATAAAGGTTCATTTATAATATTACGGCTGATTTGTTGAGAGTGAGCTTTTGGGAGTTTCAGTTGAAAATGAAATAAAATTCTAATCCATTGCTATATCTCTTTTCTGTCTTTCTCTCGTGAAAATAGAGATTAACTGCCAAAGTACCTGCTCTTGAAATTGGGCCATGAGATGCTGGGGAACAGCACCAGGCTCTGACAGCCATGTGGATGGGGTGGAATTTGGGGCTGCACTAAGAAATACAATACAGAACTTTTAAGAAACACATTTCCAATAGATCAGCTTGCTGTAGTATCTGGCAAGTCCCCCTATGTTGGCAGTGAGAACAGAACAGATGAGGGGTGTGTGCATGTGTGCAAGTAAAAACAGGGCCAGGACAGCACCAGACCCAGCTGCAGTTGTGAACACCTCTGGTGTTCCCAAACCCCAGCCCCACCCTGGATGGAAATTCCAGAGGTAGCTTTGGAGATAGGCCTGAATTCCTGCTTTAACTAAAAATCTCAATTCAGTTTCTGTATATATTGTTTAAAAATTAAAACTAATTCCCCCTTGAAATTATCACTTTGGGTATAAAGCAGATTGTCTGAGAATACTCAAGAGTTCCTTAACACATCTAGGAGTTCAAATTTTTTTAAATTGAGAGAGGTTTTAAGAGGCTGCTGCCTGGTCTGAAATTTGTTATCCCACTTTATCCCAGTAATAGGCTACAATTAGTTATTTTAATTTTGGTAAACTTGAAATAAAACATTGCTAAAACTTAAACAGTCATAGGGGAACCCATGCATTTTTTGGTCTATTTTTTTCTCCCCAAAGTCCCAAAATTAAAAATGTCCTTTTTATCCATATCAGGCAAAGTGGTGAATGCAGAATAGCCCTGGCCACTTGCTGGGGCTCTCACTTGCCTGCTGCTATTCCCAGGTACCTTTGGCCTTCTTGTGGTGCAGAGCTGCTCCACTGGCACAGAGGAAGGGGAATCATTTGAGGTCTGTCCCCTCCCACCATTAGGTTGGCTAAAACAATTTGGCTGCTTGGTTGGGTTTTGGTTGGGGTTTTTAACATTAAAAAAAAAAAGTGATGACAAAAATTGATTCTGCAACATTAATTAAAAACAACAAAAAATGCACCCTTTGGAGCCAATGACATAAAGATGATTATTTACAGCTCAAGGAATTAAATGCATGAACTGCAGTGCTAACCCCCTCACCATGTTTAAAAGCTTCAATAGAAAATGTGATAGATTTTTGAGACAGAGTAATAAATCTCCTGCCCCCGCCCCCAGCCCCTAAAATTGGATGTGATACATACATATATATGTATATATATATAGAATGTCATTAAAGAGACAGCCTCAAAGTGGCAGGAAGCACAGCTACACCAAGCCATGGTAACGAGTAGTGTTACCAACCAGCCAATATGGGACTTGGCTGAATTCCCCAATTTAATTGAAGATTATTTTTAAGAATTATGTCCTTTGTTCTGTATGTTTTAGTTCCCTGCCAGTTATTTTCTAAGTTTTGGCCTCTAAAAAGTCTTACTACTCTGCCATGGATAGCAGTGTAATAAAACATCCAGCCTGTGCTGTTGGGCAGCAGCTCTGGTGTCACTTGTGTCCCCTGGTCAGGCCACTGACCTGGTTTAGCGTTTGTTCTCCCTCTCCCTGGACTCCAAACACCTGAACATTGTCCTCAGGAGGGGAACAGCCTCACAGGTAAATCACAGCACCCTAGGGCAGCACATCAGTGTTGGGGTGGCAGGGATGGAACAGCAGGAGCAGGCACGGTGCCAGCAGGATGGGTGAGCTGGCAGGGCTCAGCCACAGGGCCCTGTGGCACCCACTCCTCTGCCCTGTGTGAGCTTCCCAGGGCCATGGCCATGCAGAAACCATCACCCACCACAGCCCCTTGGCTTTGCCTGCCCACACAAACACCCTCCACAGCTCAACCTCCCCAAAACCACTCAGCCAAGCTGGTGCTGTAAACCCCCAGCACCGACTCTGGTGATAATTTTGAGTAATTCTAGTAAGGTCTTTCCACCATGCTCATGCCTGCACCATTTTGGCTGCTGCAGCTTCTGTTTCCCACATGAGAACAGCACCAGAATTTTGCTCTGCCTGCCAGCAGCATCCCAAGGATCCATCCCTACATCAGCTGATGTTCTCCCTGCCTTGCCCTCTCAGGCTTCAGCACTTCCATCCTCCTGCTGCTTCAGCAGCTGAGGGATGAAGACCAAAAGAAGGCAGAGCTCCATGTCTTTGCACAAGCACAGCTGTAAAATAATACAAGCCTGTGCTTTTACTGGAGAAATATGAGTGTGATTAATAAAGCTGCACTGGCTCCCACACAGGAATGCTTGCTGAGCACCTGTAGGTATAAACAGGAATATAAACTTCCACAAATACAGCTCGAATCAGAAACAAATGGATTATTGTCTTTCACAAAGAGCTCTCCCAAGCTGGAATCTTTCGGTGCTGTTGGAGGGCAGCAGGCTGTAACTCTATCAGCCCCTTCCCCTCCCCTGTTATGAGGCAGGTGCCACTGAATGATGAAAACTTGCTTTATTTCAGCCTCCCCGCTCAGCCCCCCAAGCCAGAGCTTTCCAAAACACTTTCCCTGCAGGAGTTCTAATAATGCCTTTCGCAGCCACCATAATTAGCTGTTTACCCCCCAAATATTACTTTTTTGGCACAACTCTTTACAATGACCTCACCCACTTTCCATGCAGGAAAATTTCATGTTAGGGAAACTGGATTATTGGAGGATTTACTTTTCTCTAGCAGGGAGAGTGGCTCTCAGCCTGCAGGACAGCTGGTGTGAGGGGTGCAGGAGGAAGGCTCTGCTCCCAGCCTAACTCCTCCTCTTCTCTGGCAGGAGTGGCCAGGCTGGCTCAGAGCAGCAGCTGCCGAGTCTTCTCATATGTCCCCAGGAAGATGAAGCCTCCCAGGCTGATGGCTGCCATCCGTGGGACAACACCTGCAAACAAGCTGAAGGCAAGGAAAGGCAGTTTGAGAGGATGAGCTTTGGAAAATAAAACCAAGAAAAACTCCCTCTTGCTGGTTTCTCAAATCCTACTTCACCGCTGAGTGAAGGAATCTGTCTGGACTTCCCCAACACAACACTCCCAAAGCTTGTGGTTTATAAGCCCTCTCCACACTCCTTGGATGCAGAAGGAAGAGGCAGGAGGCCATTATGGGCCACTGGAAAGGGGAGCTCAGGCACAGGTCCATGAAGAGCTGCAGACAGGTGGGAACATCCTGTCCTCCACTGCCCTCTCCCCTTGCACACACTGCCCTGCTCACTGCCCTGGCTCATTCCCAGTAACAGACAACAGCTGTGAGGGAGCAGAAATACTCAATTTGTGGCACCTTCAGCTGCCATCCTTTTCAGGTGCCTGATCTTCACAGTTCTTCAAAATTAGCAGGAAACTCGTGCAAAGCCAATTGCTTGACACATCTGAACTCACAGTTGGTTTAACAACTTCAGAACAGGCCAGTGTATCCTCCCAGAGGATTACAGGCTTCCTTTGTGGCAAGCAAGGATTAAACATTAAGCTCAAATCAGTTTGGCATCCCACTCCCTTCCAGATCTGTGGCTGAGCTCCACAGGGATCCTGTCCCTGGCTTTCCCAAACACTGCAGGGTCCTGCTAAGAGCATGTCCACAGTGGGACACGCTGTAATTCCTGTGAGACCTGGAATTGCTGCTCAGGAGCTCCCTGCTCCTGCTGCACAGGGAAACTCTGGCAGTAATGAGCTCTGCTAAGGAGCCTGGAGCACACAGGCAGATGGAAACATTTTATGGCTTTACTAGACAGCAATTGGACCTATTACCATAATGACAGCTTTAAAACAGAGTAATTTGTACAAGGCATGTGTGGACAGAGCACTGATAGGGCACATCCTAGGGAGCAGCACACAGCATCCCTCTCCTGCTGAATTAGGAAGCCTCATTACGGGAGCAGGGGCAGACATTCATTTCCAGAACAACCCACTCGAGACACAGCTATTACACAAACAGGGGCCCATAACTGAGTTACCCAGAAGCTGCATCCCTGGCAACCCCTATTACTAACCATCACTTCCAAGAATCCTGGCCCTGCTTCTCCCAGTTTCCTGTTCCCACCTGCCACCCGTGACCTCTGCAATCCACGCTTCCCCCATGGGCTCCCTTTCTGCAGAGCTGAACAGCTGCAGGGAGAGCCCAAATGCAAAGAGCAGAGCTCTGTGGCAGGTCTGATCCCAACTGGTCTCTGCTGGGCCACGCCTGCCTCCATCAGCAGATGAGATAAATTGGGTTTATTTCTGCTGGCCCCATCAGAAACTGCGCTGGTGGGCAGAGGTCTGCTGTCTAGCTGGATTTGGTCTCTGTCTGCAGATTTCACCTGGCACTCTGCCACTCCTCACTTCCTAACAGGAGACTAATAGGACCCCTGCAGTTACCTTTTGGATCATTGAATCGTTTAGGTTGAAAAAGAACAAGCCCAAAATGACCCAGCACTACCAAGCCCACCACTAACCCATGTCCCCAAGCACCAGTTACACGTTTTGAACACTTCACTGGGAAAGGGATGCTGATTCTACCACTTCCCTGGGAAAGAGGGGAAGGCACTGCAGGGCCTGGACATGGCACAGAGGGGTCAGCTCTGTGTGTAAGCACTGTGTGCTTAGCCACAAAACCTAAGAAGTACCCTCTGGAGCAAGGAGGTGGCCATCCGGAGACAAAGCACTGCTTTCCTCAGGCTCCAGCTCTGCACTGAGCTGTCTCTGTGGGGAGCAGTGTGCCTTGGGTTCAGGGAGCAGCAGGGACCAGGCAGGGATGCAAGGGGCAAACAGGACGAGCAGGACTGCAGGGAGAGGATGCTGAGCAGGGCAGGAGAAGGAGGACAGGGCCGAGGGCCAGCTGATAAATCATGCACAATGAGCAAGGCAGCAAGGCAGTTTATAATGGCTTTTCTATCCCATAGCTCCTCCCATGGTTTGCTCTTTCATGGGACATTAGATAGGCTCAAGAGTCTTGGCAGTGTAACTTGCACTGCAGGTGGTGGAGGCTTTCTCCCCCCTGCTTGGCTGCCCGGCAAAATTCCTCCAGAGATGGGGGAGATGCTTCTCTACTCCCAAAAAATAATTCTCTCTGCTCCCCTCCCCTCGAGAGGCTTTCTCTGCATGTGCTGTTACTGCTGAGGCATGTGCCCTTCTGGTATTTTTCCATTGAAATCGAGATTCATAACCCACACTTCAACAAATAAAACTAAACGATGTTGAGGGATTATTATTTCAAAATTAAATTGGTACCTCAGAAGTGCCAATTCCACTCTGACCAGGAAGCTCATGGGAGGAACAGGACACCTGGTGCAATACCACCAGCTCCATCTCCAGCTTTAAACAGGCCACCTGACCAGCATTACCACTCCAATAACCCTCGTGTTCCTCACCAAACAGTTGTGAAGCTTCATCCATGGCTTTCAAACATCACAATCTCCTTGTGTGAAAAGCCATCGGACAAGATGCAAACTCCCTTTCCTGTGAGTGATTCCTCTACCCTGCTGGCAAGAGCAAGGAGGTTCACAGATCCACTCACCCCATCCCTATCCTAACCCCTGCCACAGTCTTGGCTCTCCCTGGACAGAAAGGGATGTGGAATTTCTTGGCGTGAGGCAGAGGGATTTACTAGGTGCAGACCAGGAAGCTGAGCCCTGTGCTCTGGTTTTAATAAGGTGGCAATAAGCAATGCGTCTTTCTGCCCTCAGAATTCCTCCTCTTCAAATACGAGATTTATTAGAGGAGCCATAAATCATGTCATGTTGTAACTGGCCAAAAAAGCCCGACATTTTTATTGGTTTTGATTAATAGATTTATAATTGGCAGCAGGCATGGCAGCCTCTGCGTTTATTTTTCCCAAGACTTTCTTCCTTTTCCTCGCAGCTGACGCAGCTTGGCCTCCTTTACATGTTGCTTTTTCTCCAGATCTCTTATTGTTTTGATTTCAACTGAATTGTGTTCCCTTTGGTCCTAGTCCACTGGTGCTATCTTTGGGCAGAGTTTAATTCTGGGTTATTTAGAAAAGGACACTTTTCTAAACACCCTGAAAAGAACACAAACATACATTTTTACTTTCTGCTGTTGGCTAGGGGGTGGGGGAAGTTACCTCAGTCAAATCCATGCTTCTTCACACCCTTCAGAGCTCAACTTCCACTAGCAGCAGACATGGCCTCACTTCTCCCAGTCCCTTTCAAAACATGCCTTAAGAGTGCACCAAGCCATGCAGGACCCAAAACTCATCCCCTGCCACATCACCGAGTCCTCTTGGAGAGGCAAACCTGGGACAGCCCAGCCCTGAGTGCTGCCGGGGGGCACAGCTGGATGCCTTCCTGGAATCAGTGTTCAGGAACTTCCTGCAATTTGTTTTGAATTATTTCCCACATGTGTAGAAAGAGGGTTGAACTTTTATTAGCTGGGCAAGCAGAGATCAGATGTTCAGAGAAAGCTGTCCCCTGCAAAGCTGCGTTGTGCACAGCGCTTCGGGCAACAAAGGTTAGAACAGTGTCCTGAAAGAGTGAGAGGGTTAAAGATCTAGGGAAAACTACAGGGAAAAGCCCCAGGCTTCCAAAAATCCCTCAATTTCTCTTCCAGGCCAAAGGCAGGTGAGATATGAGCCCTACTGAAAGAAGCACAGGCTGAACTTCACGGATTGGAAAAGTTAAGACATATATTCAATTTCAGAGGTCAAATACTGGCAAAAGGCATCACCCAAAAGAGGACAAGGTGGTGTAAGTGAAGCAGTGTCAGTAAAAATTAATTTTGACACCTCAAAGTGTTCTAGAAACACTAGCAGAAGAGTAGCAGTGTGTTTCCACACTGCTCCAAGGTCAGGAGAGTGTTTCTCTGTCTCAGGACTGGACAAAATGAGGCACTAAAGAGACTGGATGGAATCACCTCAGACTGCCACAACTGGTCACAGGAAAGCCCAGAACATTTCCACCCTCTGGCTACAGCAGGAAAGCCCTGGAGAGCTCCTCTGTGACTGCTCAGAGCTACTCTTTGTACTCAAACCTGGCTCAGAAAACTTGCACTTTTGGGTTCCACATGGCAAAAATCCAGGGGCACATGCTCGAGGCCAGAAGTAAGAGGAGATTCAGAGCACAGGGCTCCCTCCCTCTGCTTCAGCTTGTCCCCACTGCTGGCACCACATTGGCACTGCCTGCTCACACTGCACTTCACAACAAGAATGGAGAATTGAAAGAAACAGAGGAGACCTCGCTGGTGCTTTCAAATCTGCAAGAAATTGCCAGGAGGAGGAAAAACTGTCCACAAGGGGCTTGTGGGTCCTATGGTGATCTTCCCTGGCACCTCAGGAGAGGGAATTCACATCCCTCAAATGAAACTGCTGTCTTCACTGCTACGAGATGTGCCTGAATTTAAATGGCTACAAATCACACATGCACATGTTCACAGGGAAAAGTCCACCATGGGTTATTAACACAAAGCCACCCTTGCCTCTGACACCTGGAGCTGGGCTTAGAGGTTGGATATACTCCCAACAATGCCCTTTTCTGTGCTCTTCCCTGGACACTGCCCCCAGCCAGGGCTAAGGTGAGGACACTCAACCTCCCTTAAGGATTTGTTCTGGGCTGTCTGACTGTTGCTCCCTGCCCAGGTGTACAACAATCAAAAGGCTTTTCTGTATGCCAGTATTTAAATATAAACAGATCCCATCCTCTCACACCCCCCCAAAACACACAGACAACACAACCTTGAGGTGCAGCATGTCCTTACCCTGACAGGCCTTGTGTCCTCCAGATGTCACCAAGGGCAGCCAGAACATTCCCACTGGCATTGCTGGAACCAGCCTGCACCACAGAGAGAGAGACTGGAAACTGTTGGCAGAGGTTTAGCTATTTACTGAGCTCCTGTCCCTGCTTAGTGCTACATGGCAGGAATTACAGACAACCCTAATGACCTCCTCACCCCAGGCACAGGCAAAAGCTCCTCGTCTCCAGGAATGAAAAAAAAGGGCAGAAAGTGAAAGAGAGGCCCAGAAGAACAAAACTATCAAGGTCACAGAGCTGCTTAGTTCAGAACTGGGCACCCAGTCCCTTCTGCACTACACTCAGCTCTACATCCAGCAGCTGATATTGCAGTTAGACCTTAATAAAAACACTCTCAAAACACCAAGTGACTTTGTTGCTCCTTTAGATTTAAAAGAACCAAAAAAACCCCCAAAAAACTGTGAGTAGTGTATTGCATGTGAAAATTGTCTTGAGTGCAAAACAGAGGCCAAACAGCAGGACAAGAGACACTTAAATTCCATGTGTGACCTAGTTAATGTGAAATGACTAATTTAAACTGAATGGTCTCAAAGCACCCTCATTTCTTTACTTGATTGCTCAGGAGAGAGGCAGAGAGAAATGAAACCCCACTTTTACAGGTTTATCATTGACACTATCCAAGGACAAAGAAGCTGCAGCAGACACAACCCAGCAATGGCAGATAACACAGCAACACGGTGAGCACAGATGTGACTCAGGTGGGGAGGTGCATGTTAGCAACAAGAAACATCCCAAATTGAGAGATGTGAGCAACAGGGTTAAAAACACCCAGAGAAACACCAGAATGCCCATCCTATATCAACACAACAGCTCTTTTCAGGGCTGGGAAAGGCTTTAGGAACATCCACCTGCTGAGGGCTCTTAGCTCAGTGGCTGTCAGATCTGCCCTGGGTCAGTGAGATGGTGATGGGAACACCAGAATCACCAGCAATTCCTAAACTTATTAAACTTACTGATCTTATAAGCAATCTTCCTTATGCCCTGGTTGGCAGATGTTGGTCATCACAATCTCTATAGTTCAAAATTTTGTGACAGAAAATCCAGTACCAAGCTCTCCTCCAAAAAGACATACACACACACTGAATTATCAGAAGAGCAGAATAAATCCCTGACGGGATTTTTTAACTTTGGGTGTCTGACTCTGCAAGGCTTTTCTCCTAAAGACACTGCATGAGACTCTGGAAGCTGAGCACAAGCCCAAGTCTGTTTCAGACAGCTCCTTTGGGAAAGGACCAGAGAAGCATTCAAGGAAAGGAACACAATAATTTCATTAGTTCTGCATGCAGTGCCTGTTCACATCTACTCCTGCCTTCTAGGACAAGAGCAGAAATTGTTATTAATAGGTGCTGGATTTCATTCTGTAACAACCCTACAGAAACCTTGGAATGCCCAGGCCATTCACTGGCCTGTCTGGTGGCCTCCTTCCCCCTTACCTTTGCCAACATAATTCTTGTCTTTGCTACGTCGAGCGGTGTGGTGACTGCAGCTGCAAATCCACCTGAGAAAATTAAAATACCAAGCACAAGTGAGACATTGTTGTGTGAATATGAATGCCACACTGCCTATAATTCCCAGGGCTGTGGTCAACACTGCTCTGTTATTAATGCCTACAGCACGTTCCCTCACGTCAGAGCTCGGGTACGTCTGCCCAAGGTCTGTACACAGATGTTTTGTTACTGTGTGTTGATTTTAGAAAACAGCTCTCTGCTGCTTAACTGTAAATCCAAACATCCCCAGGGACATTACTGTCTTTTTGTTTTGAACATAGGAAGGTTGTAAGGATAACAGATTCCACTTCCAACATCTACAGCAAGTTTTGAAGGAAAAAAAATCTACTTAGTCATTTGCAGAGATGGGAAAATAAACCAGTCACACTGTGTTCTGCCTAGAGAATTGAAGTCTGACCACTTAAATGCCAGAAAGATAGAAACATGCTCAGTATCTGAAACACATATGCTTGGGCCACTCACTAGATACACACAGACTGGATCTGGGACTGTTTCAAGGAAAAAAGAAAAGTCAGTGTTTGGGATGGAGCTCATCTCCAACAGATTAAATCAGCTCCACTTTGGTAAGAACAATGTGGAGCTGCTCAAGGGTCTTAGGAAATTGTCAGAAATCTGCTGTCACAAATGCCATCTTACCCTTACCCTCAGAGGAATTTTTATTCTCCACTCTCTCCCAAACTTCACCCTTGGAGCTCATGACTTGTCACTTGTCACAGCCAGCTCACCTGTGACTTTTCTCCTGAAAGCCAGAAATCTTCAGCTTACCCATCTGCATATCTCACCCCCAAACATTTGTGTGTGTGTCTGGCTCTGTATTTTAACCCTGTGACTACATCCTGGCCTCCTGTGCTATCTAGAGACCAGCTCTGCTGCTTTTCCTCCCAGAATTTTATTCCTTTTGCCTTATTTCCCCATCCTAAAATCAATTCTAATCTTTCCCTCGTCTGTTCAAAATATTTAAAATGAGTAATTCATGCTGAGGAAGTGCCCAAGTGAAGGAAACTCCTAAAATGCAGGAACAGCACTAAGTGAAGAATGAAAGGGGAAGAAAGGGGGAAGAAAAGAGAGCAAGAGACTTGTTCTGAAATCTTTCTTCTTCCTCCTATTTTTTTCTTTTCTCTGGAGCTTGCAAAAATCCTGTATCTGCTACAGCCAGGAACAAAGTGACTCCAAAGACTGAAGCTTACACAGTACCCAGGGAATAAGCTAAAAATAATCTATTTTCTGTTCCAAGTTTTATGGAATGTAGAAAAATTGATCTCTCTTTTCTTGGAATGGGAGAAAGGAAAAAGCATTTCTTCTAAAATCTGTAAAGTAATGAAAACAAACATTTTCCCTGCTGCCTTGTGTTTTTACCTGCATCTCCCTCTCTCAACCACCTTAACTTGAGCATATTAAACCCCTGTTTTACGACAGAGGAGGCTGGGCCAGCTGGCACCCTACTTGACTTCTTACAGTTAATTAAGGAATGTCCCATGACAGTTCAGGAGATGCAGGAAGGCACATGTGCAGTCCCCTGGATCTCAAACAAGAATAGCAGGGAAGCTGAGTTAGTGAGCAGCCCAAAATGCCTGGTTTTAGGAGCAGCTTCCACTCCCATAAGGTTGGCCCGTGTGGCTCACTCTGCCGGAAGCTTTCTAACACTGATACCTCACTAAAAAGCAGAAAAATGGGCTGCATTCAAGAAGTCAAAGCAGAAACTATGAGCAAGTTAAACTAAATTCCAGTCCATTCTTGGACCTTGTTTAAGGTCAGAAAATCTTTTTATTGTGAGCCAGTTTTTGCGTAAGTGACCAAAAGGCTTTGAGAGAATGGTCTGGATAGAAACTTTGGTACTCATGTCAGCAATGTATTTTTAGAATGGTAAAAATAATCTCCATGGAAAATAGTGGCTTTACAAGTCTGGATGTAGAAGCCCTTCCTTTGCCCACAGACCAAGCTAAAATTAAACAGTGAACCACATGGCTGTCAGGCTCTATCAAGCAAAAAAATCTCAAAGCATCACCCAGCTCTGATGGCAACACTTTAGTCAGAATAACTTGTGTCCCTTATCAGATCCCTGTAACTTTTTTTATGCATTTACTCCTGAGAGTTTCTTACTGGCAGCAGCTTCAGTCTTGGCTGATAGAGTGGTTAGAACAAACACAATCTATCCTGACATGATGTTCCCAAATTCTTATCTGAAAAGTTTAATCAAGGCTGATTGGTTTTCATTTTTTCCCCAGCTGACATCTGGATCATCCCTACTCTTTCGTTATTAACATTTCAATGTTTCTTTTTCCATCACTGGGAAGTATTTGGTACAGATTTACCAATCAATTCAGAATGGCAACGGCAACAATAAAATGCTTCATAAGCACAACAAGCAGCAGGATAGCGGCTAAATTAAAAGCAAGTTTGTATATGCTTGACAAAAACATGAGATTAAAGCTAGCATTTGTTGGGGACTGCTTTTTATTGAAGGCAGAGTCTGACAAAATTAATGTTCTCCAGCCTTAACTCTAAATGTAGATGATAATTTTAGAAGGACCTCTTAAATCTTAGTACACAGGTATCCAGGAAGAGGATAAAGGAACTTAAAACTTGACTGCTTCCAATCACCAGATTGATACAACAGACAGAAACTGTTAAAGCAAATCTATTCATTGAAAATAGGAGGGCTGTGCACTCTACTAATACACAATAGGGCCCAACAGATCTTTAAATTATTTAATAATCTGATTTAATAATCATTCAGTTCCTGCTGTCACTGAACTCACCAAGAGCTGCACATGAGGCTGGAGTCTGCTCCACTAATCAACAACCACGAAAAGCATCAGGTGGACAAGAAAGGGCCAGACAAATTGAGCCTCCCACTCCTGAACCATCCTGGTTTCTGTGCAGAGCTGATGGAGAAAAAGGCACCTTTGCAGGCAGTCTGTGCCCAGGCTCACTCCCCAGCTCGCTCTTGGAAAAGGCTCTTTTCTCCCTTGCCCTAGAGCTGGGGATGACCTGGGCTCAGCAGGTAGGCTTAAAGATGGATTTTCACATGGGAGAAGGCTCTTGGCTCATTAATACTTCTAGCAGAGTGACAAATTCCTCTATTGGGAAAAGAAACCTTCATGCAGTAGTGGAAAATTCATCACCCATCTCCCAAGAAGTTACAATGGTCACTGTATATTCACACATCAGCTGAGCAGCCAAATTTTACCAAGTCAGGGTGTTAAACAGAAAATCCCCCTGCTACTCACACTTTCCCAGTGACCAGTCCTTGATGGAAGTGCTGGTGACAGACATCTGCAGAGAATTATTTACCTTTATTTGGCAATAAGAATAAAAAGACTTGAAGACTTAAAATATTCCCCTAGGTTGCTGCTGGCATTTTCTACCATTTTAGCTGTCATACACAAATAAAAGCAACAGAACTGAATGAAATACTTCACCTGGGAAAAATACATAACCCTAAGTTCTTGCAGTCTGTAGAACTTGCTGCAACAGAAAAATGTTTCTCAGGTACTTAGACACAATCCTCAAATAAGATCCTATGAAGGGAAGAAGACAAGTTCTCCTTCAGTTTTGGCATCTTGTTTTTCTGTACCATTTTAACTTCTCCTTACCTTTTCTAAAGGGTCCAGGGAATCCTTCTGGCCATTACAGGGGTTCTCCCTGATTCTGAGTTCCTGTCATGTGGCCAGACCCCTGCTCTCTCTCCTTCAATACCAGCCCTGTTCTGCAGGCCAAGCTCATTTCAAGAGACAAGAATTTGTTCCTTGTTGGAATTAACCAATCTTAGGAAAAGAAAAAAATTCAGGTCAAACTGTATTATTGACTTTCTTCATTATTATTTTCTGTACTGACACCTGGACTCAGGACCTTATTTTTTTTGTTAATAAACAGGGTTTTATTCACTTTCACCCAGGTATTAATTTCTCGCATTGGCAAAAAGGGATTATTGGAGCCCTTCTCTTTAGGGGAAACATTCATTCCAGGGAATTTTCTCCTGAAATTTGTCCCAAAACTGAGACACAGGTGGAAAAACTGAGCAGCTCATGTCCAACACTACACCTCACAGCATCCTCTTACACTGACTGATTTCCAAGTTCACAAACTGTCTTTTTCAGAACTCTTCAATTAATAAGTTCTTATTTGAACTTCTATTTTATTGGTATCGTGTTAACTATTTTAAGAGGAAGTTTATTCTGGTCTTTTATCAGTGTGGGAACGACACCTGCCTATAGTAGAGCAAAATGATCTGAGATCCTCCTTGGATTTCAGCAGAAATACCAAGACAAAGCACTGCTCCCTCCAGAGATTTAACCAATTCAGGGTTAGGAGCATGTTCCAAGCAGACTCTGTAGGGAAATCTTGAGAACTACTCAAAAATTTATTCAGAGCTATAGAGTTAAAGAGGCTTTTAGACACAGTGTGTAATCTTGTCAGAGCCGATTAGACCAAAACAAAAGTGATGGGAAATCCTCCCTGTTAATGTGCAAAAAGCTCGAGTTAGTCCATTATGATTCACTGGGCTTGCACCTCCATTCTTGGTGACTGTGTCACCACAAGGCATTAATTATTAATGTTAAGCCACACTTTTTCTCATGGCAGTGAGAAAGCAGGCATCTTAACAGGGCAATTTTCAGTCACATTAAATGTACATTCAGGTTCTTTGACAAGCTGGGGATCACCTCGCTGCTCCAGGGCAGTACTTTTCTTTTCCAACAGCTAATACCCAAAGGCAGGATTTCCTTGCCACTGTCCCACTTGCATGGAGAACACAGGAAAGCCAGAAGCTCTCCTGGGACAGCCTGCCTTGGTACACTGCAGGGCTGGGGTGGTCCAGCCAGGCAATCTAAATCCAGAGAAGACTTGAGCATGGGATGAAAGCAGAATCATGGCTGCATGGGGACATCCTTCCCTCCTCTGCCTCCATGCCCTGCCCAGATCTGGAGTGGTGTCCAAACAGCTCAGACACGGGGCAAGGTTTGGTTCAAACACAATTTCAGACTTAAAATCTCATTGAGATCTACCCTTGGGTTCTCCCCCACTGGCTGCTCAGGTATCACCTTTTCCTTCTCCTCAAATACTCCAAACGTCTCTGTTAAGACACAAAAGATGATGATAAAGCTGGACAAGGCCTTAAGGGGTTAAATTATTAACAGACAAGTCAGAGAGGATTCCAAATCTCTAATATTTATATTGGAGATTATTTAATATTTATATTAGAGATTATTATTATATTATGCCTATTACATTGCCATAAAAAGCCCATGCATCACATACATCCATCTTACATATGAGGGCTGAAACTGCTGCCATTTCACAGGCACTGGGCATGGAATTCAACAGATTGTTGCTCTTGGTTCTGTCTTCACCAAATAGTTACAACCAACTCATACAGACACACATGTGTGTGTGTGCCATAAAGGGAAGCTAAACAGGACTTTTCTTTCAGTTTCTTTCAGCTTATTACCCTGCCCCTCAGGACCTCTAACATATTTTTAGAAAGTATTGAATTCAAGCAAAGAACACAGGAGAAAAGCCTTTCTGTGTGATTTCACCATCCCACCACCACCATGGTGGCATTTGACAGCATATCTTTGTGCAAAGGTTGTTTTTGGATAACATTCTCCTTTTAAGGGTTATAACACAATGATTTTAAATCATTTCTATGCACACATCCATCTTGTTTCATTCCCAGGGTACTGGCAAGGTTTTAATTTTTTGTTTTGGGGTTGAAAGAAAGGGATAAAAAGTTTGGTCAGCTTTTTCTTCCCTCATCTGATGCTACATGTAGGTGGCTAATAACTTTTAATTCTGGAATCCATTGTTCAGAATGCAGGAAATTATTTTTCCACTGCCTCCCCTCAGCAAGAAGGCTAAATATTTTCAGTGACATAGAATGGATGCAGTACCAGAATAGATCAATATCAAAGCCAGCCTGTTACATATCTCAGAGGGAGGCAATGGAGACAGAGGGGAAAGTTCTGATCCAAAGAGAGCTCAACCTCCTGAGCTTTGAAGCAGGTCCTCAAAGGGCACATGAGAGAGGAAGATTACAATAGTGCTGGTGAAAAGGAAGGAATCAGGAGACAAAGCACAGAGAAGGAAAGCCAGGCTGGAGGAAGGATAACCCAGAGAATATTTATCCTCACCAATTACAGCATGATCTAGAAAATAAGACTCCAGCTCTGCAAAGATTTGTGCTTGGGGATGGAGCCTAGGAAGGTAACCAGGCTGAAGTGTCTCATCTACCACCACATGGACCTGAAAGCCTCTGTGCTGCTCCAGGACCTGGTGTCTCCTCCAACACAAAGTGTTGGTGTCCCCAGTGAGTGCCAAAGGACAGTGAGCACCTGTCCATGCACTGCTGTCCTCTGGAAGCTCTAGAAAAGGAGCAGACACTGCTGAACATCTATTAAACAGTTGCAAGTCCAAACACAACTGGTCAGAATCAGGACATACAGAGAAAGAATTGGAGTACTGGGCTAAATTTCCAACTGAGGCACCAGATTTGACCTCAGGAAATTACTCTGCAAGGCTCTGGGTAAATCAGATAACCTTTCCAGCTCTCTGAACATGCCTGAACACAGTTTTTGTATCAATCTAATGTAATCTCTCAATCAACAGTGATAAATTAATGATCCCCATCACACCTGCAGACATACAGATTGCATTTTAAAGCAGTTTTAGTCTGTTAGTTTGATTTGTTTCAAATTGAAAATTAACAGTCTGCTTCATTTGCTCTTTTGTTTGCACTGATTGATGAAGGCAGAGTAAAATCCAACAGCAGGATCTCGAAGCAGAATAAAACTCCCTTCCCATCAACATAAACAGAAAAAATACAGCTGGACAAGACTACAAGAGGTCACCTAAAATATTCCCTCAGCCCCAAAATGGAATCAGTTCTACCTAAACCATTCCCTCACTGCTCACATACCCAATCTACTCAACTTTGTGCAGCTACAGCCACGCTGCCTCCCCTCAGCCGTGCAGTTTCAGTGCCCTTCAAAATGAAGCCTCAGTCTCTGCTGGAATTCTGCTGCTATTAATACTTCATTTCCCCTAACAGAACTTATTTTTTAAAAATTACATTCAATGTAATATCTCTGATTTTGTAAGTTACCAAAGAACTAGTTTTGCTTTTGATAATCTCTATTTCAAGAAATGCTGTAATTTCTCTTTAAACAGGATTTATTTTTTCTACATATTCTGTTACTGGTTTGGAATCTCAAAATGTATTTTAGCTCCTTGGGGGAAGAGCTCTGGCTATCCATCCCTTTACTATTAATCTGTTTTTTCTATTAAGACAGTTGAATCTCTCCTCCCTCAAACTTGTCAGCTGTACTGATGAGTCATTAATTGATTTTTTTCCTTCTTTTTGTTTTTTTGGAAACAAATACAGTAGGCAAAAATCAAGCAAGAAGCCTACTGAAGAATTCAATTAACTTCTGGCTTGTTTGGTAATAAATAGTGCAGTATTGTATTCTGCCACTCTTTATTCTTTTTGTAGTGTCTGGAGATTGCCCAGATGTTTCATCCTCTGGGTTTTTTTGCTGTGGAAGGCTTTTGCCTCCAGGCTGAGCAGTGCTGGCCCTCTGCTCTCCTGCCTCCAGTTAATCTAGGTGGCTGTCAGAGCTGTCACAGGAATGGTGAATCACGGCCTCTGCAATCACTTCAGCCCCTGGGGAAGTGCTCGGAGCGAACAGCTGCACAAACCCCCACCCAAACTAAGTTTCTCCTGGATGAGGATTTTACAAATCAACTTTGAAATAATCACAAAGCCTGACTGACAGGCCCACCGTTTTTTAAATAACAGAAATTTGTCAAAAACAAATTGGTTGTCTTTCAAACAGACACCCTGGTTGAGTTTCTTTTTTTTTTTTTTTACTTCTTCTCTTTCCTCTGCTGACTTTCCTATTTCCAAACAACTGGATCCGTTTTCTTCTAAACAAACTTGAATTACAAAGGAATGTTGTTCTGCTATACTTAATAGATTTGCACATTTTTCCCTTTCTTCTTTAGTCTTTCCCAGTATAACATATAATCCTTTGCACCTGCAAAAGCTCCACAGACTGCTGACTGCCAAGAATCCACCACGTGACCCTGCTTCCATGACCAGAGATCCTGTGTTTAAAGAGAAAGGAAAATAAAAAGTTATTAAATGTTTGAATCTATCTGATCCCCATGTGAGTTAACTCTGAGGATGGGAACTTAAGTGAAAAGCTATTTTTGTGGCATTTTTGAGTGATGTAATAAGTGATTTTTCCCAAGGAACTTGTGTACTTGAACAAGCAGATGGAGTGAGAAAGACGTCTGGAACTGAGGAGGGCTCGAAGCAAATTACTTTCAGGGAATTCATATGTATGTATTTAAGCCTGTGGCCATGCAACTTTGCAAATATTTTGTGAATTTATTTTCTTTTTGGCAGATAAAACAGCACAAAGCAAAACACTGAGTGAGAGGGCGGCGTGCAAGAACCAATATCAGCTCAGCCCAGATGTACAAAAGGCTCCCATTTCAAATGAACAGCTCTCACTTCCACGAGACACAAGTCCTGTTTGCTCCTCTACATTTCTTAAACCTTTCCCCAAAAAACCCCATCATTAAGAAATTACTCTTATCACTCCCATTACATCCCAAAGCAGGTGTGTCTCTGTTTTTCACTTGGCATCATTAGGGACCACACACCCTCCTCTCCATGGCTCCCACACACCCTGCTCCCATCCATTTACTCACAGCAGCATTGTAACACACACATTTAAAGTCCCAACAAGAACAGTGCCTTCCAAAACCACCTCTCAAGTCATTTCACACAATTTGATGAGCCTGGTCAGTACCAGCAGCAAAGGCCAGCTCTGCTGGGAGGGGTTTACCATGGCAGCTACAATCACTGTGCTCTCCCCTCCTTCACCCTGCTCCATCACCCCTTTCTCATCTCCTGAAACACCTCACATTGAAAGCTTTCTGGAGGACAGGTTTCTGGTTTAGGATGTGAGCATCAGTACTGAGCAAAAAGGGATGGGATCCACAGCCCTTCTGAGACCCACCGCAGAGAAATCAGCAATTTCATTTTATAGCTGTGGCATTCTCCTTCTTTTTAAAGTCATATTACTTCTGTACTATAAAATTTTCTTAGAAACAACTGGATAGCAGTGCTAGGCTGAGATTACTGCTCTTGTTCTGCAGTACAGCCACTTTCCACTGGAGCAGGAGAACTCTGCTCTTGTTTGCTGACTCTTCATTTAACATGCTGTCCTCGTGACTCGCTTCTTCCAGCTTGGCTGGCGGCTGTATTTCAGTTGAATGTTTTAAAAATCAAACTGTTCAAGCAACAATGGCCAGCCACAATGTTGTTTGGTACCCTGCCACAGCTAAATAGCTGCAGCTCTGCTGTACGAGAGCACTAGAGGGGTTCCAGCCTCTCTAATGCTAGCCATTCTTTTCCTGGTGTTCTCGGTATGGGCTGCTATTCTGCCATCACCCACAGCAGAAACTGATTTTCATCTCATAAATAAATAAATAGAGATTCATAATTCTTCAAAACCATAATATGCTTTTCTGGAATAACTTACAGTCTTCGGACACACAGTTCTCTTGCAACTCAGTCCTGATGGAAGAAGGACACACTCCCTTACACAAACTACCTTCCAGAGTATCTGGGTGCTGTCAAAGGATAGAGCCCACCCTCAGCACCCATCTGCAAAACACTTCAGGTGCTTAAGAAACCTTGAATTGAAAGTCAGGGTTTAAAAACTGAGCTGCTTGAGCCACAGCTTTCTTTTGATAAAAACAGAATTATTGTATTTTCTTTTATTAAACGTTTTCCAAACATTTGTACCTCTACAGCTAAGCCAGAGAACTCAGAACAGTTACTGCTGCCATGTAAAAATGAGCTGTGGAAGGGCTGCTGGAGGACTAAGAGGAAAACCAGCCCATTAATACAGATGTTTGTTCATGGCTTTGCCAGAAGCCCAGCCTATTCTCAGTCATGATGGGGTTTTATGTTAATGTCATTGTCCAAAGAAGAAGGAAAAGGCCATTCTGATTTCTTGGCATGTAGTTCTTAAATCTAGTTTCTGATAAAGCCTGGCTGCCCAGTTCAGCTCTGCACAAAGAGCCTCTGCCAAGCAAGGCAAACGGTGATGAATTCCCATCCATTACTGCAAATTGACAACAGGTATTTGCAACAGTCATGCAATATGGAAAATGGTTTAAAAGGGTGGAGCCAGGAACAGTTCAATTAAATTAGGGAAAAGGAGAATTGAGGCTGGAGAACAGGAAGCAAATTCCCCAACAGTGAGGTCTACTGAACTGCAGAGCCAGCCTCCCCAGGGAGGAGAGGAAAGCCCTCTCCTTTGAGTCATTTAAAAATAGATTGGAGAAGGCACTCAAGACTGTACTGTGGGGAATAATCCTGCGCTGGCAAGGGCAGCATGAGATGACTTCATGTGTTTCTTTCCATCTCCAATTTCGGTGATTCACCCAGAGCTCCAAACCTGAACCTGCACAAGAGCAAGAGGGAAGCAGGGCACGAGGACACGATCCTGGAGGAAGCCAAGAGGAACAAGTGTCACAGGGCCAAGAGGACCAGCAGGACTCTGCTCCAAATTCTTTCTAACCACACAATGGTGTGGGCCAGGATGACGTGCTGGAGGTCACACGTGTTTTCTCTCATAGTCCATGGACCAACTAATTGACAGGGCTGTGTGGTAAGTCAGGCCTGTAAGTTCTTCAAAAACACTCAGCCTTTCAGCAGGCTTTAATACCACTAAGATAGGGCAAAGCACAGAAGCTGTTAGAGGTTTGTAGATTTACTATAAAACCAGGGCCTTGTTCCTGGAAAGAAACACAGGATCCATATACATATCCCCCCAAAACACTGACTCTGAACAAAATTGCTGGTTATTGCAATATGCAGTGCTTAGAGCACACTCTGCCACCTTAGATGCTGCACAGAAGCAGAGGAGCCTTCCACTTGGGGGGATAATGGTGAGAGCTCAGGTCAGGCTCAGCTCAGAGGCTCCAAAAAAGGGCAGAAGTGCCCTTGTAATGCCTGCAGGAGCCCCAATGACACTGGTCTCTCTCCACATGCTCCTGCAACATGGAACACAAGCTGGGGATTACGAGCAACACGACTGCAGCAGTTGGCTGAGCCTGGGTCCCCCACCAGCATCACCAAACAGGCTTCTACCTGCTCACACTGTGCTCCTGCAGCAGAAGGCTGCAGGGGATAACCTGACTTTTCCAGGGCAATACCCATTCCCACTAGCATTCACAGCCTAGGAAAGCAAAATGACAAGGAGCACATTACATGAAAGCAGCCGCCATGCCAAGCCTGTGTCATGTGTATTCTATTAGGCTGAAGGCTGAATAGAAGACTTTGTTTTCCACTTCAAAGGACCCCATCCCAATCTCTCTCTCTCTTCCCTTATGAATAACAAATTGGAAATAAATCTTCTGGCTGAAGTGCATGGAAACTCATACAGTTGGGGCCCTCTGCAGCTTCCCAGCTCAATCACATGGTAATTTTTTTGTAAACACTTTTCTGTGATATATATGTAAATCTCGCTGTGCATTGCTGCACCATGTAAAGCAATACAGCGGGTGTGGCCTCAGGGGATGGGACACAGCAGGAAGCCTGGCTGCATATTTCCAATTATTCTCAGGGATAATGTTCACAGAGAAGGGTCAAGTTTTATACGTGGGCAGAGCCCTACTTTTCTTCATAGTGATCCCATTTCATCCTGCTCTACAGGCCAGTGTCCCCTAATGCTCACCATAAATGTTATTTAGCTTTTTTGATACTGAGGAAACAAGGACATCCCATTTTGGTGGGCAGAGGGAGCATTGGAAAAGTCACTCTCAAGATATACCAAAGGCCCTTCAATCTAAAAACAAACAAAAGCCGAAAATATTACCTCTGCTTTTAAATACTGGGGGGAAGTATTTGGTGCCCACAAATATGGAGTGCTGAGGACACCTGGCCTCCAGATGGCCAATAACCTTTGACCAGTGCACACAACTCTTACCTGTGCATGCCTGTCACCTTTGCCATGCATTTATAGTAAAAGTTCGTGGCAAAAATCATCTGTCAGCTTTGTATTCTCAGTGCAGCCAGGTCATGGTGTCTATATTCAGGACATCTAAGGTTTGGTAATGCAGGAAAATGCACAATGCTCACACATCTCTCAAGCCTGCTGACCAGCCCAACACCACCAATGCTGCAGGAAGCATTGCAGAGAATTAGACATCTCTGCCTTGGCCTTGCTATTCTTCAAGCCAGCAGAACTCATGGCATGCACTACACTTGAGACCTGCAGCTGAATAAATATTACAGTTCACTCCAATGATAAGCATCTATAGTATCTCTGTGTACCCCTCTGTTCACAACAGTGTTCAACTTCATGCCAACGGGGGAGAACAAATCATTCCAAATGAACCCCATGGATCTGTGTGCATGTGCGGTCCTGCAGACTGAGGAAAGAAAAGCAGTTTTCATGTCTGCCTTTCCTGCTAGGGATTTTACTCACAACGTGGCATTCTGCATGGCTGACCCTTACAGATGCATGGCACATTAGCTACAGGAGAAGCAAAAAATTCACAAGTTGATTGCAGTTTCTGTACATAAAGTCAACATGGAACAAGGAGCCAAACGTCCTCCTCAGTGGATTTTTATGTGCATATGTGCAGCATATGGGCAAGTACATGTGTATATTATCTTGCAGGAAACATGCAAGCCCAAACATGGGAAAATTCAATGATCTAAGTTCACTGTTGACATAAATGCTGAGACTCCATTTGCACTAATGGAGTTGTGCTCACTTATGCCAGTACTGAATTCAGTCTTAGAATTAAACCCACCCAAATCCTAGATAAATTGAAAGAGAACAAAAGTTGGCCTATAAGCAAGAGCATATTTTTCATGTTAAAAGCATTTCATTCCCTTTTTCTGCCCATATAATACTGCATTGATGTCTGTGACCCATTTGGATGTAAATCAAAATGGATGTGCTAAAAGCCTGGTTAAAGGAAATGTTCTTCGAAACAGTGTTCCCATGGCAAGGCAGAACAGCTACAGTCAGTTTCCATGGCACAAAGGGACATACAGGGAGGGAAAATGCACT